CGGCACTTCTGCGCCCCGTCTCCCTGGTCTGCTGGGGGGGGCTCCCCCCCAGCAGACCAGGGAGACGTGGAGCAGCTTTTCTCGCCCCAGAGGACGGGAGCGGCGGGACTGCAGCGCATCTGGGCATCCCACCGCTCCAGTCCTCCGGGGCGAGAAAAGCCCCGCTCGTAACTGCGGATCCGACGTAAGTCGGATCCGCGTAACTCAGGGACTGCCTGTAGTCGATACAAATTATATCGGCTATACAATTAGTCAGTTACCTGCCTCGTAATGTCCCTATTGTAAATGCCTGATGGGCTAATAAAATTGGCCTGATCAAATTGACAATCAGTGTAGCCCATGGGTAGCAAAATTTCAGGTATACTTGCTACATGAGCACTTTATTATTCATTTGACTTATTTCCCTGTTCATTCTTTCATCTTGCTCAAAATTTAAAATGTTTTTCTTGGCATCACGGAAACAAAAATGAGCTTTATTTTAAGATTGGGACTTTCATGTGTAGGGCAAGGTGCACTTACTTGGGCAGTATTTTTGAGAAACTCAGTGGAAGCACGTAGCTGGCAGTAAATGAATTTATAGTATGAATTTGCACCACTGAACTGCAGGCAAACTGTAACATATTGTATTTTATAAAATGTTCCTAAAATCTTATTTTAAAGTAATGTGCATTCATTTAACAAGAAGTATAATCTGATCTTTTAGTTATATCCTGTCTGTAAATCTTTTGTTTATGTTACTCATAGGAAACAAATTAGCTTTAAGCAATCTCGTTATATTTGTGAATTGTGGTATTTGTGATATTAACATTTTTTAGCACATATGTATCATCGTTGTTTTAATCTCATTTATATTGTAAATTTGAGTGGTGTTTGGATAGAGCCATACAAGTCAATGGATTAAGGATGTAAGCGAGAAGTCAACTACCCAGTAAGCAGGAGCTTATTGGTTAGTGCTATTTACTACTCGCTCACCATCACCGTCACACCACTGTGGCTCGGCAATATTAAGGGGACTGGTTCTTGTGTCATCTCCCCTGTCCCTAATAATGCAGAGCAGCAGCAGGGGTGTGTGTGTGTGTGTGTGCTGAGACATGGTGGGACCAGGGATTGAGCACGCATCTTTGAACGTCAACTCCCCTATCCCTTTAATAATATGGGGGGGATAGGGGTGTGGCGGTGGCTGAGACGCAGAACAGGCTAGGACTAAGCACTGTAATTGCCCTTCCTTATCAATTGAGTAGTCTATGGAAATTCCATCAGATACTCAATTAACCGGTTAACTGCTACTCAACATTTTTACCGTGCATATCTGCTTTATATCTGTTGGTTTCTGATGTGAATATCTGCAGCTTGTTTTTATGAATGTAGATACAAATTTTGTGTCTAGAACCCTGCAAATTTGTGGATATCCGCTTTATATCTGTATCCGGGGGTATGGATACGGATATCCACAGATCATTTTTGCGCATGCCAATTTTGTATCTGCACAGGGCTGTATCTATGGGCTTCCCTCTGAAAGATGTCTATAAAAATGGCATTGTGAATTCCATTCTAGATATGCTGAGTTTGCGTATTTTCTAAATGCCAGGTTTTCAAACTTAGGGTAGGATGGGAGACTTGGGTAAGTCTGTTTCCATCTTATGTATCATTACCAGTGACACACATTCTGGAGTCTGAATTAAATGTACGGTTATAAGTATACTCCACTGTCATTGTGTTAAACTTATTGAAAGTCACAATGCACTCTGAGGCCAAAGACCTAGAACCAGATCAATCTGAAACTATAACACGTGAAACAAACACAGTTTGTGGGCAGACTGAAGCACTGGAATTACTAGGGAGAAGGTATACTGGTGCAGGTTAAGAGCTTTTTATGAAGTCTTAAGATAATTTTGGATTTTCAAAACTGAGCATGCACATGTGCCTGTACTAATACTGTTAAATATAGGCTTTGCAAAAAGTAGTGTTGCATGCATTAGGGATGTGAACGACTAGAGAGTATTCAAATGAGCAAATGCTTGTCAGAAAGAGACAGCAACGGGGGGGGAGGGGGAAGGTGGGAGAAGAGGGGGTGCCTCAAACTGGCAGTGCTGCATGAAACCCAGGGTCAACTGGGGGGGACTCCGCTGACCCTGGGCTCCATGCGGTGCTGCCGCTTTGAAATGCTGTGGGGAGCAAAGGACCAGAGGGAACTTCTTGAGTCCCCTGCTGGTCCCGTGCTCCCTGCAGCACTTTTGCCTTTTAAGTGCAGCAATAGCTTTGTGACTGTTGCTACTCTTCAAAGGCGGAGGCACCCTTATCGACTAATCGAATAGTCAGTGCAAATTGCATTAATTGGCTAATGAACATCCCTAGCATGCACCTGATAGGTACACTTGAAAGAGAGGATACATTTGAAAGTCAATCAAATGTAACATATATAATTTCAAACTTAATGAAAAACTCATTTCATCTTTCAAGCTTCAGCCACTTTTGCTGTAAAATGAAGTGCTTTCTCAATTTTAAATAAAAAAAAAATAGCTGAAGGAATTTCTAAAGCTAAAAAGTTCACAAATGGTCAGAAGCAAAGCAATGGGAATTTTAATATGAAAAGGTGACTTATAAGAAGGTTTTAACTGAAATGACGATGTAACTTTAAAGTGTTACACATGCTCTTCATTTTAATTTTTTTTAAATTACTAAACCCTGCTATGCTTTCCAGTCTCTTCCCACACTTCTCCAGCCCACAAACTTTTGTATTTTCTTGATTTCTACTAGCAGCATTGTAACAGATTCTGCATTCAGACAACTAAATGCTTCTCTTTAGTACTGTGTAGTCTTCTCTCCAATACGGGTTAATCATTGCTGACTTGTGTTCAACCAGTCCACCTCATCTGGCCATCTGTTACCCTGCAGTTCTCCCATTAAGCCTGCTCCCCCTAGGTGACCTAGTATAAGGAACAGTCTGCAAGGACAGAGAGAAAAGCCTACATCCTGATAGATTTATGGCACATATTTTGCTGATTTTTAGGAATAGTAAAGTGCACAACCCAGGTATTTGTCATGCAGTCTGCTGAGTTCCCTCTGACTTAAAATAGTTAGCAATTAATTTAACTTTATAATATATGAATTTATAAGGGCGAAGGCAGCAAAAAATAATTGCTAAAATTAACTTTTTTCTTTGTATCTTAATGCTAAATGTTTGTTTGTTTCAGCGTAGATGATGCAGACACCTGCCTCTAATTCTGTACACCTGAATGAATGGCAGAAGAATTACTTTGCTATTACCTCTGACACCTGTACACCAGGACAGAAGGCAGATGGATATCGTGCACAGATTCTGTACATTCAGTATGCATGGGCAAACTCTGAGATCTCCCAGGTCTGTGCTACCAACCTGTTCAAAAAATATGCAGAGAAATACTCAGCCATTATTGACTCTGACAACATAGAGACTGGCTTGAATAACTATGCTGAAAATATTTTGACTTTGGCAAGATGTCAGCAAAATGACAGTGATAAGTGGCAGTCCTCCTTGACAACAAGCAATGTGTTTGAATTAAAGAGTGTTCAAGAGTTGATGCAAGCTGGCAAAAAGTTTCAAAGCTCTCTGATGGCACCAGCAGATGCCTTTGTGGTAGTTAAGGAGGTCAGTGCCTCTGTTACTCCAGGTCTGCCTAAACTCAATGTGTGTGACAGTGCTGTAGATACTGGCCTCTATGATAGCTCATCAAAATGTGTAAGTCAGGGGCCAGATATTCTTAAGAGTCTCTCATCTTTGAAATGTCTTCAAAGTAGTGTGCCTCCTGTGACCAGAACTACAGATATACTTCCAGGCTCCACTGCCTCTTTAAATGAATGGCCTAATGCAGGTTTCTGTACAGGTCCATTACCTGGTAATAACAGAGCAGCAAGTAGCAGTTCTGTGAAACCCCCAAGTCATTTTGAGATTGGACAAAATTTGTCTTTTTCTAATCAGTCCGCTGTTCCAGCTGGATCTGGAAATCCAGGAAAAAGGAAAACATTTTATAGCTCCATTGATGAAAGCAGTAATACAATCTCCAGCCTTAATTCTTACAAGCCCTTCATTAGTACAGAAGCCAAGAACTTTTTTGGAAGTGGAAATGGGAGTGAAGAGAGCAATGTAACTGGTTTTAAAACCGCAAAAGAACAGCTATGGGTAGACCAGCAAAAGAAATATCAGTGTCAGCCTCAACGCACACCAGTCTCATCCTATGGAATTAAAAAATCTTTGGGTGCTGGAAGGTCTCGGGGTCCATTTGGAAAGTTTGTCCCTCCAGTGCCAAGACAAGATGGAAATGAAAATGGAGGGCCACAGTATAAACTTCATGGTGCTGGACCAACCGAATCTTCATTTCCAGTGGATGAACGTTTGAAGAACATAGAACCAAAAATGATTGAACTCATTATGCACGAGATCATGGACCATGGACCTCCAGTGAACTGGGATGACATTGCTGGAGTAGACTTTGCTAAAGCAACTATAAAGGAAATAGTAGTCTGGCCTATGCTGAGACCAGATATCTTTACGGGATTACGTGGTCCTCCCAAAGGAATTCTTCTCTTTGGCCCTCCTGGGACAGGTAAAACTCTTATAGGCAAATGCATTGCGTGTCAATCAGGAGCTACTTTTTTTAGCATCAGTGCTTCTTCTTTGACCTCTAAGTGGGTAGGCGAGGGGGAAAAGATGGTCCGTGCGCTGTTTGCTGTGGCACGATGTCAGCAGCCTGCTGTGATTTTCATTGATGAAATAGATTCTCTCTTGTCTCAGCGTGGAGATGGGGAACATGAATCTTCTAGAAGAATAAAAACTGAATTTTTAGTCCAGTTGGATGGAGCAACAACCTCATCTGAAGATCGTATTCTAGTGGTGGGAGCAACAAATAGGCCACAAGAAATTGATGAGGCTGCCCGAAGAAGATTGGTAAAAAGGCTGTACATCCCTCTTCCTGAAGCTTCAGCTAGGAAGCAGATTGTAACTCGTCTGATGTCAAATGAGCACTGTTGTCTAAGAGAAGAGGAAATTGATCTCATAGTTAAAAAATCTGATGGATTTTCTGGGGCAGACATGACACAACTCTGTCGAGAAGCTTCTTTAGGTCCCATCCGTAGCCTTCAGAACATGGACATTGCAACCATCACACCTGAACAAGTTCGGCCTATTTCTTTTCTTGACTTTGACAATGCTTTCAAAACTGTACGACCCAGTGTGTCTTCAAAGGATCTGGAACTGTATGAACACTGGAACCAGACTTTTGGCTGTGGAAGATAACTGCATCTGAATTGTGCATAAGTTTCTCACTTTCTCTCACAAGAACACACATTAAGCTCAATGGTAACTTGCAATGTTTCCGTTTATTTTTCTTTAATAATTTTTTGTAATAACGTTTAATAAATGTGGAGAAATTAATGATTGGATAATATGCTACTTCCTTCCTCCGAGTTCTTAGAATAAAATGCACTTCTGTGCAGAGCTCTCGCAGCAGGCTATCATATCATTTAACCTCCACAATGGCTGGGAAGAACAGCTCATCACTAACCAACCAGTAGAGAGCACCCACAAAACAAAAAGACCCAATACTATTTATATACAATGCTAATGATTTCTTTAATAATTTTATGCAGTTCAGTATATGAATCTGAGTCATTGAACTTGCATGCTTTAACCATAACAAACGGTAATTTTATTATATCTGTCACATACATTACCGTTTTCTCTGGTCCTCAGCTTATAAACACTTCCCATAGTTCAAACCCTTCACCCATGCAGAATGACTTTTAAGTGAGGACTCCACACAGGTATAGGATCCATACTAGCTCACCATTTGCAGGACTTTACTATGCTGAAGAATTCTGTCCAATAATATACTTTGTGGTCATTGAACACAAAGGTGTTATTCTCATGTTTGAGTGTGCTTATCACACATACGTGTTGTCTCCAAGCAAAAGGTATCCATTGGAATTTAAAAAAAATGCAGTGCTGGTAAATGATTTTTAAAAGGAGCATTTCTCTTGCATAAAGTTTACAGTATCTGATTTAGCTTCACTTGTTCTGGTATGAATGTAAATTTAAGTTGCAAATTGTTTTAACAAAGGAATAAAATGTAAAGCTCTTGAAACAGTGTTTCTTCAACATCAATATGATAGTAGAAATTTTCTAAATTTGAATAAATTAATATGCTTAGATATTTTTTTAAAGACCGCCTGGGAACTTAATTATGCAGAGGTACGAGAATATAGAAAACACTGATATCAGAACAATTTGGATTATTAGAGCATTTTAGAGTTTCTTCAGGCTTATCTACTGTTAAAATACTATAGCAGCACAGCTGCACCAGTGTAGTACTTCAGTGCACTCATTACTACATCAACAAGGGGTATTCTCTGGTAGGTGTAGCTTATTCAGTTCCCTGAGGCCACGTCTTCACTACTGCTGTAATAGATCTTCCAGAGTTCTATTTAGCGAGTCTAGTTGAGACTTACTAAATCAAACTCAGAGGGCACCCTTGCTGCCATCCAGTACTCCTGCTCTTGCCAGGAGCAAGGGCAGCCAACAGGAGTGTTTGCTCCCATCAGCCTCCCACTGTAGGGAGGCTGCCAAACTCAGCTTAAGGCAAGCTGACTGTAGCTACATATGCTACGTAGCTGGAGTTGCGTACCTTAAGTTGAGCTGTTGGGTCTAGTGTAGGGATGTGAGCGATGAGTCGACTATCCAAATGCTTATTGGATAGTTAACAGGCTAATCAACTACTAGTCGCTCCCCTGCCCCCTTATTGCCTCTATCAGAAAGAGGTAGCAAGTGGTAAGAAGAGAAAGGGGTACTTCAAAGTGGCAGCACTGTGTGAAGCCTGGGTCCAGACTCCGGGCTCCACACAGCGCTGCTGCTTTGAAATGCTACATGCTGCCTGGAGCCAGCTGGGGTGTTCCAAGACTGCATGTAGCATTTCAAAGCAGCAGCACCGCGTGGAGCCCAGGATCAGCTGGGGACTCCCTCGTTGACCCCGGGCTCCATGCTGTTCTGCCGCTTTGAAACGCCATGTGCAGTATGACACTGCTCCCTGTGGCATTTCAAAGTGGCAGTGCTGCATGGAGCCTGAGGTCAGCAGAGGAGTCAGCAGCTGATCCCGGGCTCCAAAGGGTGCTGCTGCTTTGAAATGTCGTAAGGAGCCTGACGCTGAGCTCCCCACGGCATTTCAAAGCGGCAGTGCCATATGGAGCCCGGAGTCAGTGGGGAAGTCCCCAGCTGACTCCAGGCTCCAAAGGCAAAAACACCGCATGAAGTGGGCCTTGAACAGCCCTAGGGCTGTTGCCACATTTCAAAGGCAGAGGCACCCTATCAACTAATTGAATAGTCAATGCAAAATGCATCAATTATTCAATTAGTCTATTACTCGATATCTAACATCTCTAGTCAGTGGGATGTGATCTAAGAAATGGAAGCTAGGTTGACAGAGGAATTCTTCCTTCAATCTAGGGCTGTGTACATTGGGACTTAGATTGGCGTAACTATTCTATTTGGATGCATTTAAATGGACCTAATTTTCTATTGTAGACTACTGTTCATTGCAACGTTAAAATAGTTTTAAAGAGAACATACTATTTGTGATTTTTTTTTTTTGGTAGATGTGTTCATGGTTATAAACGGCTCGCGCAGTTCTGCGGTCTGTGCATTTGCAGATTGTTCTGAGCAGGCACAGATCGCTCTGTGCCGGCTCTTCCAGGTGTAATATACTCGCCACAGGCGAGTAGATTGTATTATTTGTTGAGCTCTGAACATCTGTATAATTATAAAAATACATTAATTTCAAAATGCCCAGGTTCAGTTGCATACACTTGCAATCATAAAATCATCCAGATCTTTTTAATCTGTAGACCAAAGTTCAAGATCTCTGTTCTATCATATGTAACAAGAATTTGCCAAGAGCTTAGTCTCATCAACGAAGTTTAAATTAATCTTTTAAAAAAATAGTGCTTCTCTATATATCATACATCTAATAAAGCTGCCAGGAGGACCCCTCTTCAAGAACTGTTCATTTGCTCTGTTTTGCAAAGATTCTACTTCCTTTTGTGCAGGAAAAGTAAATGGAAGTAAAATTTACAATTGTCCTTTTGAAGTACCTGTTAGTTTTTGCAAGTAACATGAAAAAGTGTTTCTACATTTGTCACTTTGAACACGTATAAAACCTTTAAAAAGTCTGCATTGAGGAACTGTAGCTGGGTTTCAATGTTCCATTTAATTTAGCGTAAATGTCCTTTTTTAATATTACTTTCAAAAGTACTTTGTCGTGGCTCTTCCTATTCCACTGAAACAGCATACATCATGTAGCGGTACCTGTGGGTTTTTGGTGGAACAGCTGTGTAAATGGCTTCATAAAACTTTCATTGCTGTTTTGTGTGCATACACAGATCTTATGCCCTGCATGAGGCTAGTCTTGGGTTTTATTTTTTTCATAGTAGGGAAGAAGAGAAATGTATACATTACATGATTTAAATAGTTGATTTTTATGTGTACTTAGTGTGCTAGAGCAAAGCTGAACATTGTCTAACTTAACAGTTATCAACTAAGTAATGGAGAAATTGCATAAGGCAGAAGTTTTTTAATACTTAACATTGATCAGCTAACTTAGTTCTTTTCCTACAGCTAATTCAAAATATGCATAAATGTATTCTGTCTCCATTAATTCAACCCATTTAAGTTTTTGAAAATGCAACCCACCACAATGACAACAAAGGAATGGGCATATTTGAGTAGATCATTGCAATATGAAAGTCTTCCAGTTGTCTCCTGGACTTCTCGTTCAGTAGGCAATTCCTGGCCAGCAGCCCAGCAAATTCCTCAGCCAAGCTCCTAGCCTTCCATGCCCCTAAGCCAGCTGTGCGGGCTAGGTGTGGCTCTGAACGCTGCAAGCCCTGAAAGGGAGGGGTGTTTTAAGGGCTGCCTGTCCTGCAAACAGACAACTTCCATTGGCTGGAAACTGGCCAGTGGGAGCTATGAGGTTTGGGTAGGGCAGGCAGGGAGCATGGCTGAGGCTTCTATGGTCCAGATCCAGTGGCTTAGTGTGCTAGATCTGGTCCATGGGCCGTATTTTGCCTGCGCCTATGCTATATAGAATTCATCTTAAACTGAATTTATTAGTGTCCCCTTGTGCATCAAGGAACAAGGTTAAAATCCTCAGAATATGAGTGTAAAGGTTATGCACTGCACTGTAGATATTTGTGTGTGAACTAGCTAAATTTCTGTACTGTCACATCTTGGAGTTGCTTTGATGATTTGTCCATGTGATTGAAAACTTAGTTTGAGCTCCAAAAGCTGCCCTTCAATACTATCATTGACCTATATGGTGTCTGACTCAGTACATAAAGGTGTTCATGTCAGATGGGATTGAAAATGCTACTTGTCATGGGTACATTTATTTTTCTGTTTCGGCTCAAGGTTGGGGTCGGCCTTTTGAAAGGAATATATTCAGCTCATAGGCCTGTCTACCCATATCCTAGTTGAATATCCTGATCTATGATTCACTGGAATAATTCAGCAGCTTTGCACTGCTTCTGGAAGATCGAGATGGTTATGGATCGACAGGTTTGGCCTGATCTGTAATTCTCAGATTTTAGCCTTCATGCCCCACCCATACACCCCCACACAGAGATTCTGCTGGGCTCTGTTGATACCCATTTGCTTCTGGATTAAAAATCAAGTGTCTATGCTGATTCTTTTAGAACTGCCAGGTACTTTGTTGTCATTGTCTCTCAAGATTACTGACTTGTCCCTGACTTTTGCAGACACAGATGGAATTGTAGCTAGGTGAGCAGAAGAGATGTAAAAATGTGGTTGAAAATTTAACTGTGTAACCATTAAATATTGTTAGCAGAATTGTATAAAATTGCTTAATGAACATCAGTGTAATGCTTGTAATTATATCTGACCAGTGCATTGTAATGAATATGTAGGGAGCCATGTAAAATCAATGTATGTATTCGTCATCACATATATTTTAAAAGATTGCTGAGTCTGCTGACATGCTTGAATTTAAATTACACCAACTGTAAATGAATACTCATGGGTCTAAACGTTGACCACATGAATATTCATAGAAAGGACGGTTTCTCATGATTATGTAATAATATTGTGTATGGACCAATGTTTTAAACTTATGCAAATATCGCATCTTTATCAACCAAACATTTTAAAGTAAAACCCTCATGAATATGCATGAGCGTGATCCATATAAGCCCATGCCACGCCAGTTAAGCTGTTGCATCAGGCATCGGGCTTAGGCTTAGGTCAGGCTTAGCGTATGAGCGAGAGGGTGTGAGAGAGGTCTAGAGTCTTGGTCCCGGGTGTATTGGTATGAGAGAGGTCTAGAGTCTTATGGAAAGAAGATGAACGGAAGGTTCATTTCTTTCTTTCTTTAGGTTTAGTTTAGTTTAGCTTAGTTTAGTATTTTAGTTAGATTAGTGTTCGTCGTCGTGTCTGTTCATCAGGCTTGCGTCGGTCCACGCACGTTGGCCATCATCGAGACTGTTCGTTGGGCGTGTCACAAATTAGTTAAGGTTTTTACTTTTAGGTTAAGCTTAGAGTAGTATTAGAATAGAGAGTCTAGCTTCCATCGCCGTCCAGCTGCTCCGAAACACAGGAAGAAGGACGAGGACCGTGCGGAAGGCCAGTCGTCACACCCTATTCCGACTTTGTTGAGGGATGCCTGGTTGTTCCTCTCCAAAGGCCCAGTAGGACCTGAGGTTCGAGGTCGCCAGCATCGGCGCCATCTACCACCGAGGGACTCCTGGCAGGTCTTCTCTCGAGGCTTTAAATTAGCCAGAGGATTGAGGTCGCCAGCAACTCATCCATCACCCTCTGCACCTCTAGACTCTGGTAAAGTTATTTTGTTTCAGAGGGGACTGCCCCCATGTTCGCTTGAGGTATTGTGTTTTGTTTTTGTTACAATATAGTCTTGTTGTTGTAAACTTTACCTAAATTGTCAGTTTTTATTTACACGCGCCATATCTTTGGGTAAGAACAAAACCGGTGATTAGATATGACATTGGAGTTGCACCTTTAACTTTTTAATAATTTAATAATTAGGCTAATTGGTAATAGTTAATATACACAGTCACCCCTTACGGGTTACAATATCGTAATAGTTACGTGTGCTGCAGGCTCTGCAGTATAAAACTTATTAAAGCTTTATGTTGTAGAGCCCACAGAGAAGTCACCTTCCCAGGAACGGGGCAGGCAAGGACTGCTACTGCTGGCCCTGCTCCCAGGGGAAGTCTTTGCTGTGGAAGCAAAGCTGCCTCCCCAAGAGCAGGGCCAGCAAGGGTTGCTGGCCTCATTCCCAGGGAGCCAGCATGTAGCCTGTCGTGGGGAGGCTGGACAGGGCTTGTCATGGACAGGGGCTCTGTGGGCCTGGAGCAGCTCCCTGTCCAGGGCAGACGGAGAGATGCTCCAGCTCCTACTGGTAAACCAGAACCGGTAAGTCTAATCTGTTGAAAGTGGGGGTTTCTGATTAACCAGTTAAGCTTTTACATCCTTAGTGCACAGATCTATTCTTTTTTGGGAGGACTCAGAGGTAGGAATATATGATTTATCTGCCCTTACTGCTGTCTTGTGACACACTGCAGGAGTTTGTTGTTACCCCCTTCCTGTTCAGCCTAAAGAAAGATCATAAAGGTGAATTGTTCTTTAAAATGATTCAGAGAGATAGCCGAGTTAGTCTGTAACAGGAAAAACTTAAACAAGTAGTCTCTTAGTAACATGATGATAAAGTAGATTGTGTGCTGTGCTTTCGTTTGGCAGGTGGATGTGGGCAGGAAAGGTATTTAAAAGGAAATCCTGTTTTTATATTCCTTTGCTCCATTTTCACGTTTTAAGTTTCTGGATGAAAAGAACTGGTCTCTTTTTCCCCCTCTCTCAGATGGCTTTACAAGAGTTCATTATCTTAGCACTTGAATTTCTGTACAGTCTTCCCATGA